CTCCCCCCCCCCCCCCCCCCCCCACAAGGTTGCACGCTGTCCCCAACATTGTTCCAGGTGTTCATCAACGATCTGTTGGAAGTCGTAGAGGCAGTCCGGAAGGGAGTAAAAGTAGGGGACACGGAAACTTCGGTGTCAGGAATGCTGTTTGCGGATGACTTTGTTGGTATGTCGGACACCCCTGAGGGACTGCAACTGCAAATTGACGCGGCGAAGAAGTTTGCTGATAAGTGGAGATTGTCTGCCAACGTTACGAAGAGTGCCGTCATGGTATGCAACGAGGGCAGGGAGGAACCAGTAGAACATAGATGGAAGTGGGGGATCGAGGAGATTGCAGTAGTCGACCAGTACACATACCTCGGAGTAGAGATCGCAAAAGATTGCTCGTGGAATGCACACATGTCCAAGGTAGCGGAAAAGGGCAAAGCACGAGCAGGGAAGCTGCACCCAATACTCGCAAACCGGCACCTTGATATACGCATCAAATTGACGGTTTTGAAGAGCGTAATCGTACCGCCGCTGGAGTACGCCGGAGAAGTATGGGAAGGAAATAAGAAGGTAGTGAAAGAACTCGAGGCGGCGCAGATGAAAGCAGCGAAAATTATCCTAGGATGCTCCAAGCGCACAAGTAATGCAGCAGTCAGGGCAGAATTGGGGATCCAATCCCTACGGTCGGGAAGAGACGTAAGGAAGCTGACATGGCAGTACCGCATGTGCGGGATGGGAGAGGAGAGGTTGCCGAGAATAGTATGGGAGGCGAAGTGGGCAAACAAAAAGAGGGGTAGACAACCCACGGAATGGGTCAAGGTTGTAGAGGACGTATGGAAGGGATTGGACATCGACGAAGATGAAACGCTGGAAACGGAGGGTCTACAGGGGTTCAAGAAGAAGATATCTGTTGCTTGTGCCGACAGAGAAGAACAGAATCTAAGGAAAGAATCCAAGGATAAGGAGGGTCTAGAAGTGTACGGAATGTTGAAAGAAGGAATAGGGTTCAAGGATTACCTACATGGACCAATGGATGCAGGGACAAAGCTTAAGGTCAAATTCAGGACCGGGGACATAGGCCTT